ATTATAATATCCTCTGATAGATTATAACGTCCCCACCTCCCCCGAAACACAAACACACACAAATACTGTATGAGCAATATGATTTCAGTAGCAGTGCTATATGACTGTATATCAGCACTGGTAAGAGGCGTGCGTGCCTTAGCAGAAACCGTTACTTATTCACCAATGTCACTTTAGAGGTAGTATTTCAATGATTCTGTAGCGTAACGTCTAAAGTGGTGATTATGTTGACATTTTTAAATTATAAGGCTGAACGACATGAAATGCCATCAGTCTAGAGGCATTTACCAGTATTTCCTTGTTGCAATAACACAATATTTAACCTCAAATATATGTATATATATTTACAGTTGAAGTCAGAATTATTAGCCCCCCTTTGAATGAATTTTTAAAAAAATATTTCCTAAATGATGTTTAACAGAGCAAGGAAATTTTCACAGGATGTCTGATAATATTTTTTCTTCTGCAGAAAGTCTTATTTGTTTTATTTTGGCTAGAATAAAAGCAGTTATACATTTTTTAAAAACCATTTTAAGGTCAAAATTATTAGCCTCTTTAAGCTATATTTTTTTTCGGACAGTCTACAGAACACACAATCATTATACAATAACTTGCCTACCTACCCTAACCTGCCTAGTTAACCTAATTAACATAGTTAAGCCTTTAAATGTCACTTTAAGCTGTATAAATGTGTCTTGAAAAATATCTAGCAAAATATTATTTACTGTCATCATGGCAAAGATAAAATAAATCAGTTATTAGAGACGAGATATTGAAACTATCATGTTTAGAAATGTATATATGTGTTAAAACAGTTTTCTCTCCATTAAACTAATAATTCATGGGGGCTAATAATTCTGACTTTAACTGTAGGTATATATATATATATACCCACACACACACACACACACACACACACACACACACACACACACACACACACACACACACACACACACACACACACCTTTTTGGGTTTCGTCTGTTGAACACTTTCCTAATAGGAATAATGTCTATGGAAGTCAATTGATGCCAGCAACCAGCATTTTCCAGAATATTTTCTTTTGTTTTTGTAGGAATGTAATGTAACTACAGCAGTTTAAATTGTAGTTTTGCTGAATTACTAAAAAGTTATTAGTATCATGGTAAAAAAAAGTTAAGTTTTTAGTCAAACAGTTCTTCTGCAATCTTATTCTAAAACGGAAATAAGGGCAATATGGAGCAAATGAGTGTTAAGTTAAATCAAAAGTAATTCACAGAATACTTGAAAACAAAATGATTTAACAACAATAATGTGCTATGGTTACAATTAATTATTTACAAAACAACTATAAAATGATAAAGCATGACATAATAAAAACTTGATATTAATTGTATGCAGCTAAAATGCAAAACAAAAAGAAAATGAAAGAAACAAAAAACAGAGAGCATGAGCCCCAAAGAGAGCGAGATAGCAGTAGAGCCAGAGAAGATGGGCTCCAGACCAGAAAAGACCAGAGCAGAAGAGCAGAAAAGCAAAAGAAATAGAGCAAAGTTCACAACCTATTTTTTTGTTTTCCTTGAAAATGTGATTAAAACGCAAATAGTGAAACATTTTGCCGACCAACCCAAAGCTTTGTCAGTATGTGACCACATTGTAAAACCCCTAATACTCACACATCTTAGCCAGGCCCTGGGGCCTCATGTACAAAGACTTGCATTGAATTAAAACTAAAACATTGCGTACAGACAATGCTGTAAATGTGCGTATGCAGTAAAAAAAAATCAGATGTATGAAACACTGTGTACGCAGAATCTCACGCATATTTTCTTTGTACATCCAAAATAACGTGAAATTGAGCGCAAAAAAACCCTCCCTGTTTTCTCCCCCGTATAAATATGACTCCACTTGACTATATATAATGACTCCACTTTGGCAAAACCAAACGAAAAGCAATGGCAAAAGCAAGCAAGAAGAGAAACTTCATCTAATGTGAATTGGTGGTGCTCTTATCTAAGGTAGACCGGAAAAAAAACTGTTATTTGCAAGATTGTCGTCCGGAAATAATAACAAAAGAAAAAAAAATAGAGTGGGAGAGTTTAGCTGACACGGTTGACGCAATGGGGTCTGAACATTGCACTTTGAATGAATTAAAAAAGAAATAGTCCGATGTAAAGGTGCAGGTTAAGAGGAGAATAGCGGTGCACCGTCAAAGTGTGAACCGAACAGGCGGGGGGAACAGGGGATGCTGAACTAACACCCTTTGAGGAGAGAATTGCCTCGATTGTGGGCACCACTTTACTGTCTGGAGTAGTATTCGTGTTTGTGGAAGGCACAGATGTATTAGAAACACTTTGTTAGGGTAGTATAGCAGCACCCCTTCGCTCATATCAAGGCAGTGCCACCGGCATTTCAGCTGCCCAATCGCCCGCTCTACAACTGACCGAGTGCGAGAATGGGCATCATTTTATCTGCGCCCTTGGTCAGTTTGTGGGTTGTTAAAGGGGGTTAACAGCCACATCTTTAATGGATAACCGCGGTCTCTTGATATGGAGTTAAATAATTACGCTCAATAATAAAAAAAAAAAAAACTTAGTTGGAATAATATCTTTAAATACATCACTCACCAAGAAGCCACCCATCGTGAACCCTGCCACCTTGGAGCCTCCTTGCTGTCTCTCTTTCCAAATTTGAAACCAAAGAGCTCCAAGAGGATAGCTCTTGGAAATCTGAACTGGCTAATAAGCCAGTCATCATCGTGGGCCAGAAAATCACTGTGATCCCTAAAAGATTTGTTCCCTTCAGATCCGACCATTGACAAAGTCCTCTAATAAGGCCAACACTGCCATAGGCCAAGGGTTGTAAACTATTGCAAATGCTTTTATATGTTCTAAAGCACATGATTGGTAAAAAATTTAATTGTGTCATTTAACCCATTGTATCCACTATAAATTAACAGCAATGTTTTTCACATGTGTTAGTGCGATACTTTGTAGTGTGCAATTTAACATAATTGCCAATGGAAATAAAACAAACACACACAAGAAATGCAGGTATGCCATACATGAAACTGGCACAGACCAACGCAAATTCTCACGTTAATTTCATTGTCAATAAATCCAAACGTAAGCATGAAATGCACGTTTGCCAGACATGAAATTGGCACAGACTAACGCACATTCTCACGTTAATTTCATCGTTAGTAAACGTGAGCGTGAAACGCAGTACAAGCGAAACAGGTAGGCTAAATTGTCCGTAGTGTATGAGTGTAAATAAGTGTATATGGATGTTTCTCAGAGATGGGTTGTAGCCAAAAGGGCATTCACTACGTAAAAACATATGCTGGATAAGTTGGCGGTTCATTCAGTTGTGGCGACCCTGGATTAATAAAGGGACTAAGCCGAAAAGAAAGTGAATTAATTATTTGCAATCAGGTGTGTGGCCGTACCTACACTCTGATTAAATATTGCACACTGTCTAGTGACAGGAATGAAAGGGTGTGCCCAAGTGTGCCACACGCCTGCTTTTGAGTGAAGGTCCCGGCTGTTAGATCGCCCCCTGGGGGCTGGCTGCAGTACAAGTCATAAAGCCCGCCTCCTCCATGTTAATGAAGGAGACTTGAGCCCAAATTAAAAAAAATATATTATTTACACTTGCAATATAATATCCCGAAAGATGGTTCTGGTCAATTAAGGCACTAGTTATTGTGCTGATATAGGTGCAGATCTTAATTTTTGCAAACAATTTGTTTTTAACCAGTAATTTAATGCTGGGCGTGTTATGGTGATTGACAGTTGTGATTGACAGATTCTCAAAGCAGACGTCGGAGCTTTCGGGAGCAGATTGAAGTGTTATTATTCCATTTTTGTGTTATTTTACCATGATAAAATGGGTTCAGCAGTAAACTATACTTTCTGACATACAGGATCTGGTGGTGATTTTTGCTGATACACGCCTAACCTAGACATGACGAGGAAAATTAAGGAGATCGCTAGATAGCAATAATTCTCTTCATGGGTCTGAAACAATAATTAGAAAGACAAAACTAATGTTAGCCTATGTCCAGATCAATCTCCTGTAACGTTATTTGAATTTGAGTCAAAGGACGTCTCTGTATTTTGAGTTTCGTTATGTTATTGACTTAATCTACTGAATTTGCTGAATATTAATGTTCTATAAAACGAATCTTATATAACTAATAGAGCTGTAATTGTTATATATTATTTTTATACATCATTCACCCTTGGCTTTCCATTTAATAACTCCTAATAAACATTAAAATGAAGGTAAATTCTTCTTTGTCAGATATTTTGCCAGATATTAAGGCATTGAAAAAAAAAACAAATGAAAACGGAAGCAAAAAAGAATAAACAATATACAAGCGATGTTGCTGCAGCTGATAGGCCTATATCATATAGACATCCGTTGATGTATTAATACTGCTAAGTTTGTTGTTCAAATTGACAAGGATTATTTGGCACCTTTTAACCTGTATATTTATAACAAATCTGTGCATACAATTCAACATCCAGATTTTTTGACTAACTGCATCTGTTTAATGTTTATCATCTTTTTTTCATATTTATTTTTTGTTGTCACTTGTCACTTTATGTACACTGGAAGCTTCTGTAGCCAAAACAAATTCTTTGTGTATGTGAAGCACACTTGACAATAAAACTGATTCTGATATAGATATATATATATATATATATATATATATATATATATATATATATATATATATATATATATATATATATATATATATATATATATATATATATATATATATATATAAATGAAGAGTTTAGATGCAAAAATCTCTAAATGCCATCTGAAACTTTCCTCTAAAATAAGCATTTTTATCAAGCTCCTGTGTGTATGTTCAGTTATAACACTTTTATGAATGCTAATTTATATATCTTTGGTCAAGTAGTGTAAGTCACTTGTTTTGCTCCAAACAATAACTTCAAAGATCATAACCTAAAGTATTAACTTGCTTGCAAGACAGACAACAGGATTTAAAACTGCAGTTTATTTCATTAATTTAGCATTATGCTTAGCAAGATATATTCAGCTTTAGTACTGACAAATACAGTATTTTGAAATATTTGTACACATTCCCCATGCAGTACTACTATGGCCAACTCTGGGGTTTAAAGCACATGTTTCAACTGAGACAGAAAGAGCACTAAAGCTAAATTAATCGTATTAAACATTCTTTTACACTTTGCACTCTATTAAACAGTTAAATTTTAATTTTCCTTTTTTTTGCAAATACAAATTTTAATCATATGAATAAAAAGGCAGCAAGACAAAATATACTAACATAAAAGTTCTATTTTTACACTAGATTTGATCAAACAGACTCTGATCAGATCAGCGGATGCAAAAATAAAATTATAATCTATGCAGTGATGTACATTACAGTCTCCAAAATAAATCAGTCTGTATTGATTACTCCTATTTTTCACAATAGCTTTGCAAGAATGTAGATGTATCGCCTCTGTTTGTAGTCTTAACTAAAGTCTGCCTTTTTTTCTGTTCAAAGCATTATTAATTGCAATATTCTTAATTCTTCACTATTTCATAAAGGTTATCATCAGATTTGTTTGTCATATTTGAATTCTCTTTAATGTCCATATTGACATAATCTTCTTCAGAGTTATCCGAGTTCACATTAATATAGTCCTCTTCTGCATCATCATCATCATCCACATTCACATAGTCTTCTTCAGAATCTTCATGCTTCATGTTTTCATCACACTCTGCATTTTCATAATCAGGCTCATCATCATTATCATCATCATCTTCATATCTGTTATTATGGGATGCACCTGCATATGTATTAGCTGGACCTAGTAGCAGTGTACAGAGATGAAGGTAAATACAGTAATTATTTCAGGAATATAATGTCCAATAAGTTTAAATGCAACTGATCACTATTATTAAAATACCTTTTTTAAAAGAGCACTTAGAATGATCTTCTTTCTTCTTCTGTCTCCTCTTAAGAGACAGGACGATGATGAAGATGGCCAGTAAGAGCAGTCCAGCTGAAAGTGCAGCACCAATGACAGCAGGAAGCAGAGATGCTGAGAGAGAAACACAAACACGGTTTGAGTTCAACTTTTATTAGCAGCAGTCCAGCTTGTGTTCAGACTCGTACACATCAGTACCTGTGATAGTGATGAGCAGCAGTTCAGAGGCAGAGGAACGGAAGGAGCGTGAGGAGACACGGACTTCATAAACACAACTGTAGTTTCCCTCATGTGAATAATCTGCCTCAGGAAAGAAGAAGGAGGCAGAGAGACTGACAGACGGCTCAATCCTGCTGATATTTGATTCTCTGAACAGGTAGAAGAAGCCTCCAGGATACTGAGATTTAGTGGAACAGGTGATAGTGAAACTGTGGCCTCTGGTGATCACTGGCCCCTGAGGGCCCACGACAAACTCTTCATCAGGAGCACTGGGAGAAATACTGGGCTGCTGCAAGTGCACTAGATAACAAGAAACATACACTGATTGGGTTAAAGCACCTCAGGCATTAGCTTCAAACTGCTTTAAAAAAGTTATTTTATTAACTGAATTTTGTCAGGGTTAAAAAATCCACACATATTTAACAGTAAAAATCTGCTGCACAAAATTCTAAATTAATCAATAAAGAATGAATTCCCTTTTATAAAGTGTTTGATCTATGGGCAGTGGGAGAAGACTCGACACACTCACCCACAGTGATGGTCACAGTGTTACTCAATGTTGACTTAAGGCTACTCTGGTAAGAGTATTGACAGCTGTATTCACCATGATGCGAGACGTCGACATTAATGCTGAAAGTCACATTAGACACATGTGTCTGTGAGGATAAAGATGATCCATTTATGAAGAGCTGGAATTCAGCATTAGCACTGCATCTCGGTTTAGGTGTTGAGCATCTGAACTGGACGATTTCTCCAGGAGAAACAACTGAATGTGTGGAGATCAGAGCAAGACTCGCCATCTGCAGCTCACCAGCTAAAAAAATATGCATTTATTTAAAACAACTAGTGTCATGAAAACATGAAATTCATAAAACCTAATCTTCCTAATCTTTTTACTTTTTTCTTACCATAACAAACAACACCAGCATCTTTGCTGTGATCACAGTTATGATTGCCCAGTCCACTGTGTGAGCACTGAGTTAGTCGTGTCTCGCTTCCTGTACAGTTAACCTCATCCAGCCAGATAGATCCATTGCCTGGATCAAATGCAGCACTAGGTGCACTAATGGCTGATCCACACTGTAACTGTCTGCACACCACAGCAGCATCATTCATGTCCCAGTTATCATTACACACACTTCCCCACACACCATTGTGGTGGATCTCCACTCGTCCACAGCATGAATCAAACCCATCGACCAGTCTAATGTCTGACAGTTGCACAAAGTCATAAACACAACATGATTAGAATCCTTATTTGGTTAGTATTTTAAATTGTTGAGAATAAAGCACAATTTTATTTATTTTCTTTTATTCATTTATTTTTAAAAAGAAAATATTAAATTAAATCTAAAGGTGATGACAGCAAATTACAGCAACATAATTTTGGATCCAGAGGAAACAAACATGATTTTACCTAAGCAGACAACTCCTGCATCTTCAGAATGTCCACAGTTATTTACTCCAAAACCACGGTGTGAGCAGTTTGTGAGGGAGAATTCCTGTCCTGAACATCTCACATCATCCAACCAGATTCGACCACTTCCCTGGCCAAAAGAAGCACTCTGTGGTGCACTAACAGCTCCTCCACATCCCATCTGTCTGCACACCACCGCAGCATCATTCATGTCCCAGTAATCATCACACACGGTTCCCCACGTGCCGTTATACAGGATCTCCACTCTCCCAGAGCATGAATAATTCCCACCAACCAATCTAATGTCTGACAGTTGCACAAATTTGAAAACACAACACAATCAGAATCCTTATCTAGTTAGTATTTTATATAGTGTATATATATCTACAATCTAAACATTGTTGAGAGCAAAGCACAAGCATTATATTTTATCAAATTCCTTTATATATATATATATATATATATATATATATATATATATTTTTTTTTTTTTTTAGTAATATATTTTCAGAAGACTTATCACTTTAATTATTAAGACAACATGATTTTAAAATAACAAAAGAAAAAAATATGACTTGAATCTTAAAGTGATGACAACAAAATACAACTTCATAATTTTGCATGTTTGGAAAACAAACATGATTTCACCTTTTATGCAGACAACTCCTGCATCTTCAGAATGTGTACAGTCATGTTTTCCAAAACCACGGTGTGAGCAGTCTGTGAGTGAGGATTCACTTCCTGAACATCCCACATTATCCAACCAGATCTGACCATTTCCCCGGCCAAATGAAGCACTCTGTGATGCATTAACAGCTCCTCCACATCCCAGCTGTCTGCACACCACAGCAGCATCATTCATGTCCCAGTAATCATCACACACGGTTCCCCACACACCATTATAGCGGATCTCCACTCTCCCAGAGCAGTCATTAGTACCATTCACCAGTCTGAGGGAATATCCTAATAAGAATACACAATAAAATGATAAATAATATAATTAAAAATATGTAACATACATAACTTGTAGACAATTTTAAACAGTAATTTTCACATCATGTAGCAGTGGAGTTAAATTTACTCCCCGGAGGGCTGCTGTCCTGTACACTTTAGTTCCAACCCTGCTTTGACACACTTCCTGTTGGTTTCAAACAAGCCTAAGACTCAATTCGCTTGATCAGGTGTGTTTAATTAGGGTTAGATAGGAGTTTGACACCTGAGATGTAGAGTTTTAAAAGACTAAAAGTCCAATACTTTTAAAAAAGTCCAAAACTTACCAGTTACAGAAGTTAGAGCACTCGCTGTTGAGATAAAAACAGACATTTGACAGAATTACAATTAGATGTAAGATTTAGCACACATAATGTAATAACTGCATGTAATATAAGTAATTATAATTATTACATTATTATTATTACTGTAAAGAAATAATGTAATGCAACTTTTCTCAAAACATAATATGATATAGTGAAAATGATAATATAATCATATTTTAATAACAATTATTTCATAATGCGAAATGCATTACATTATAAACTCACCAAAATATAGTCACATTGTTATCTGTTATCTTTTAATGTAAATCTATATAAAGTGGGTTAGAATAACCAGTGGTATAAGTAACAGATTACAAATACTCAAACTATGGTAATTAAGTAGCTTTACTCAGAAACTGTAATTTACTAAGAAGTTTTAAAAACATGTACTATTAATGTCCCTTAAGTACATTTATAGTGCAGTATCTGTACTTTCACTCCACTTCTTTCCTTCAACCTGCAGTCACTACTTAATTTTTTTATTTTCTAAGGGAATTAGAAAAATCAGTCCTGTGATTCCTGCAATAGTATCTGGATGCAGCCTTTATGATGCAAGCTGAGATTGCATCACTCAGAGTGATGTGTAGGGTTAGGGGTGGGGTTAGGTAAAAAAAAAGCATTGAATGCAGCTCAGATTGCTCTGCACCAGGTCTGCATCCAGACCCCTCAATATCCCTCTTAATTCCTGTCCAATCAAAACACACATAAGGTAAATTGCATCATATTGAACTACCTCAAGACATGGGTGATTTATCATTGTAGCAAACTGTTAAAAGTGTCAAAGAATATGTCCAAAATCTTTTCATGCATTGACCCAGAGGCTCATGGGGATGTTACATTTTGTTTGAAAATGAAAATGGTGTTGACATCAGATTGACTTGTAACATTAATCAAAGGCTAAAACATTAATTTCATACTAAAATATCCTAACTATTATGTTCACTTAATTAGCATGTTTTTAATCTTCAGCTTGTTTTGTTGACATATTTCCAGCTACCTGCTAATGATGTTAGCATCATATAACTTCTTGTTGTTTTATATAATTGTTTTAACATAATGCTAGCAAGATGTTCATCCAGTAAGCATCATGCAAGCAACATGTTGCTGTCGTGTTTAAAGGAGAAATCCCTCATTGATATTTCTCGAGTGTACATTGTTGCTATAGGGCATGACTAGGAAGTGGTATCTAAATGGTTGATAGCGCATGGCTTTTAAGTCAAATAAGCCCACCCCCATGTCTCACTGACATTGCTATTTAATAATGATGATTATAGTGTTAAAAATGGCCAACTGTGAGATCTATTTGGGCAGTAGCATAATTAATTTCTATGATTTCATAACTTCATATGATTTAGTTATTTATTAATTTGTAAAATGAGAAAAGGAATGAATTATTTATCGGAGCAAACTCTTAAATAATATGCATGAGCTCTATTTGGAGTGGCTATTTGCATAGTGTAAATATAGCCTGCCTATTATATATGTAACATAAAACTGATTTCTAAAGTGCGTTTTCTAACCCCCACTGCTGCCATACGGTACCTATTCAATTTGTTTGGCTTGTGACCCTCTGATTTTTGAGCACAATTAATTTATATTATAAGTTTGATAGATTACATGCTGCATCCTTATTAATTTAAGATTTTTGCCGTGCTTTCGCTGCTGAAAAAACAACATATTGTGGTGAGGTAGGTGTTGATGCTGGTTTGCTGGTCTTAATTCAGATCATATGCTGGTCCTGAATCCTGACCATTGAGACCAGCATACCAGCATCTAAACATACATAACCAGCATATGCTTTGTTTTTCAATCAACCTGCAAAGTTGACTTGGATTGATTGGACACATTTAAAACATAATTAGTATGAGAGATTTTATAAATCCAAATGTAAAGTGATCATATAAGAATCACTCACATCTTTTATATATTGGATATTAAGGAAAAACAAAATTATATAAAAATGAAATAACTAAAATGAAATTTTACTAAAACAATTTTTATGATAAAATGTTTTTTTTAGTTTTTAGGAAAATGAAGAAATACTTATAAGACAGTAGAATCTTGTAAGTATTAGTCAAAAGAATAATGCAAATCCAAGTTTGAAATGTAACATTCAAATGAGTAATTTATAACAGTTGAAGTCAGAATTATTAGCCCCCCTGAATTATTAGCCCCCTGTTTATTTTTTCCCAATTTCTGTTTAACGGAGAGCAGATTTTTTCAACACATTTCCAAATATAATAGTTTTAATAACTCATCTCTAATAACTGATTTATTTTATGTTTGCCATGCTGACAGTAAATACTAAATAATATTTGACAATATTTTTAAAGACACTTCTATACAGCTTAAATTGACATTTAAAGGCTTAACTAGGTTAATTAGGTTAACTAGGCAGGTTAGGGTAATTAGGCAAGTTATTGTATAATGATGGTTTGTTCTATCGAAAAAATATATAGCTTTAAGGGGCTAATATTATTGACCTTAAAATGATGTTAAAAAATTAAAAACTGGTTTTATCCTAGACAAAATAAATCAAATAAGAATGAAAAATATTATCAGACATGCTGTGAACATTTCCTTGCTCTGTTAAACATCATTTGGAAAATATTTTAAAAAGAAAAAAATATTCAAAAGGGGGGCTAATAGTTCTGATTTTATTTTTAAACAACTTAATTTCTGCCTGTTACTGTTCTTTGTTCTAAACAGAAGTCAGCTGTTCTTATGCTCTCAATTTTTTTTTATTTTTTTATGACTGCCAATCATGTCACATGATGTAATCAGCTGAGTGTAACGAGGAGGCTGAGGCTTTGTTAGAATCATGAATAGCACTAATACAGGTGCTTCTACTGAAATTAAATGCCTATGCCAGTCAGTGTGACTGCAGTAGAAAAAGTGCAAGTTAATGTCGTGTCATTCTTCAAATTAGAAACACCATGTAAAAAGTACTCTGTTAACAATAATAATATTGTTCTTTCTCTTTTTCCTCTATAATCTTTTTGGATGTACAAATCATCTAGATCTTAACTTTTTTCACAGGTGCAATTTCAGGATTTCCAATGGGCCAGTGTGTGGGATCAGTCACTGGTTATCGGTTGCTTCCATCATTCCAAAGTGCAAAATCTTTGTACTTGATTCACTTAAAAGTACAGCAAAGCAATGTAAATTTCTATCCCATTGGTGCTATGTATTATAGGCTATACTATGCTTAAGATTTTGTCAGAATTAGTTTTTTTAATCATTGCTGTAAATTAAATGTAGAGTATGTATACTTTTTTGAGTAATTATATTATATTTATGTGGGATTCTTAATTGTTGTCCTTTTATTAGTACCTGTTGTTTTATAGTGATTCTATTCAGTCTAACAGCAATTTCACAAAGACACAAGCTTGTTTGCAGATAGAAGCCCTGGAGGGGTAAAGTAAGGTAATAAATAAATAAATCAGCATATTGTCACGAAAAAGCTCTCCACTGAAATGAGCAGGAACATGTTACAATGTTGCTGGTATTTTGAATGCAACTTCATATGTAGAGAAAACCAATAAACAAATAAAGACATTGTTTTTCTCAAAGCACTTGCTGCAGAACAAAAAATAAATAAATTCACCCAGCAGAAATAAATTTGTTTAAAAAATACATTAAACACAAACTGCAGAGACAAATACAAGTAAGCCATTCATATGTTTATTGTTGTTATTTTATTTGTTATTTTTGTTTGATTATTTTACAGAATGCAGATGCCTTGCAACAGACGATAAGGTTTTTCATGGCAAGAATGGCAAAAACAAAAAAGTGATCATTTTAAAATGTGTCATGTCTTTTTCAAAACAAATTTAATTTAAATTATAATGTTTGTATACACTTAGAATAATTTATATTATCCTAATATCGTTATATCTATTGTATTCTCAAGGACTGAAAATTATGCTACAGTAATTTTGCCCCTTAAATGTGAACAGCATCTTGTCGTAACTACCTTCTTTCAGCTCTTAGTGTAAATATATCCCTTATATTAAAACATAGTGTAAAATCATACATATATCTTCTGCTAACATTTTGTTTAAATAGCATATGCTGATAACACATAGTGTAAATTGCATCTACCATCTATTAACACTGTAGCATCTATTAAGACAGAGCTGGAGATGAGGCGAGCCTAAAGTCAGCTAGAGCCAACCTTTCCCGTAGCATCAGAGAAGCTAAGAGACAGTACTCCAGAGGTATAGCCCATCGCTTTAATGACAGCAGAGACACACGGAGTCTGTGGAGAGGAATACAGTCCATCACAGACTACAAACCCCAACCACAGACCTGTGACAGCACCATCTCCCTGCTGAACGAGCTAAACACATTCTCCGCTCGTTTTGAGGCACAAAACAGCATCATTGCACAGAAGATGCCACCTCCCCCTGGTGACCAGGTGATGACTCTGTCTCCGGACAGTGTGAGGAGGTCTCTCAGTAGGATCAACGCACGCAAAGCTCGGGCCCTGACAACATCCCAGGTCGTGTACTGAGAGACTGTGCATCAGAACTCACTAATGTCTTCACAGACATTTTCAACATCTCTCTAACCCAGGCTGTCGTCCCCACCTGTTTTAAAGACACTATACCATCATTCCGGTCCCAAAAAAGTCATCTCCCTCCTGCTTTAATGACTACTGTCCAATCGCACTGACCCCTATCATCATGAAGTGCTTCGAACGGCTTGTAATGCAGCACATTAAGTCTGTCCTTCCCCCCTCCCTGGACCCGTTTCAATTTGCTTATCGGCCCAACCGCTCGGCTGATGATGCCATCTCCACTGCACTTCACACAGCACTCACACATCTGGACAAAAAAGACTCCTTCGTCCGAATGCTGTTCATAGACTTTAGTTCAGCATTCAACACTATCATCCCCCAATAGCTCTCTCAAAAACTGCTCTAGCTGGGGCTGAACACCTCTCTGTGTAACTGGCTGCTGGATTTTCCTCACTGGAAGACCACAAGCAGTACGGGTTGGCAGTAACACATCCAGCACCATCACTTTAAACACTGGGGCCCCTCAGGGATGTGTGCTGAGCCCTATCCTCTTCACTCTGCTTACTCATGACTGTGCACCATCACACAACTCCAATCTGTTCATCAAGTTTGCGGATGACACAACTGCGGTGGGTCTCATCAACAAAAGCGATGAGGAAAACTACAGAAGCGAGGTGAGCCGTCTGGCCGAGTGGTGCAGAGACAACAATCTCTTTTTGAATGTGGAGAAGACGAAGGAGAGTGTTGTTGACTTCAGGAAAGAGCACACTCTCCATGCTCCCCTGACCATCAATGGTGCGACTGTGGAGCGTGTGAGCAGCACCAAGTTCCTGGGTGTACACATCACTGAGGATCTTTCCTGGACTAAAAACTCCACTGCACTGGCCAAAAAATCACAGCAGTGTCTCTACCTTCTCCGCAAACTCAAAAGAGCAAGAGCACCAGCCCCAATCATGTACACCTTCTACAGAGGCACTATTGAGAGCATCCTGACCAGTAGCATCACTGTGTGGTTTGGAGCCTGCAATGCATCCTGCAGGAAAACACTTCAATGCATAGTGAGAACAGCTGAGAAGGTCATTGGTGTCTCTCTCCCCTCCCTCCAGGACATTTACAGCACACGTCTTACCCGTAAAGCCCTCTGCATAACAGCAGATGCCACCTACCCAATGCACAGCTTCTTCAGTCTGCTGCCATCAGGGAGGAGACTGCGCAGTCTCCAGGCCAGGACCAACAGACTGAAAGACAGCTTCATCCATCAGGCTGTCAGGAAGCTGAACTCTCTCCCAGCTCTGCTCCCCGCTCCCTCCCCACGCACCTCCTCCCCTCGCACCTCTGGACTCTGACACACACACACACACACACACACACACAAACACACACACACACTCATCTGCACTGGTCACTTTATGCAGACACAGCATACTACCTCCCTATATGACACTGTCACTTTATCACAATTATCATGTTTACAAGTTTTTTTTTGCACTATACTGTTCTTTATCTGCACAACACTGGTTTACTTTGCACTCACTTGCTATATGCCCTTAATGTCACTGTATGTCATTGTATTGTTTACAATTTTATTACCTATGTATATTTTTAGAACACATTTTAGGTATAATGTATATACTGTAAATTTAATTTTTCTTAAAACACTACTATTTTTTATATATTTTTTTATATTATTGTTAAGCACCTTGGGTCTGAGAGTAACGCAATTTCGA